GCTTTTTTGCCTCTTGACTGTGGAGTTGGGAAGAGGCAGCCCTGCTGCGGCAGTATGCCAGTCCTGGGATATAGCACCACAGGATGGTGCAAAGAGCTGCTGACATGAATTAATGTTCCCTGGTGTGCCTGGCAGATTGAATGAATCCCAACTGTCTTCAGCAGCATTTGTCAGCCTTTATATAAACAAGCAGGAGTGTTAGTTTTTATTTCTGTGTTCATTTGGCCTCTGTTTTGCTTTCTAAATCAACATTACATTAGACAGGGTTAAGAGACTTCCACTACCACAGCTCAGGTGTGATTTATGCTGTGTTCCCTTGATTTTGGTCTCCTGTTCCAAGTATGATGTGACCGTTTTCCTTCTTCCCCATTCTTTACTGGTAGTAAACAGGAAATGTGGCAAGTGTTACCTGTGACCAAATACACCCCTCCATGATGAGATGCATGAAAAGCAGAAAGCAAAATTCTACACTGCTTTTAAATAGGTGGTAAATTTCTTAATGGCTACTTAGTTCTGTCTTTCTGTCCTCTGCAAGGGCAAAACTTCTGTTGACTTCATTGAGATGGCCAGATGAGGACTTGCAGAATCCCAAAATACTCTGGAATCAATGAGACAAACTCTGGTTATGCTCAGCTTGCATTTCCACCGTGTAAGACTGAATTTGCTCTCTGTACTGTGAAGCTCTACAGTTGTAAAGGGCTGGGCATCTTCTAGTGGGACCCTTAGGAAAAAGGGGTTCTGCTTTCAGAGGAAATTTCATAATGCACATGTGGCCTCACTTCTTCTCTTAGTGGCAGAGATGATGAACCACAAGTGCAAAGTGGATGTGTTGGTAGAGGAGCACAAGGAAGAAGATGCTCTGAGCCCAGTCAGCGTCACACCAGCACTCAGGTGACTGTAGGTATGGAGCACTCTGTGTGTCTCTGAGGAGGGGAGTCCTGGAAGTCTGCATGAAGTAATTGATTCTGAGTTTTGGTATGTCTTTGGTACAATATGTATCTTATTTGTATTTTGAGTGGTCCTTTCAGCCTGGCTGTTGGATTGGAAAAAGTACCTACCCCTGCAATTGAGTATGGCACTGTATAGCAACCTCAGCCTAACCAGTTATCAAACTCTCCAAAAGCAAAATGGGGCTAATGAGTGATGCAGTTGGTCAAATAGGCAAACTTTTTTTGGTGGACACTGAATGAGAGTCATGAAACTTCAAAATTCCCACAGTAAGTGAGCTCTAATGGTAGTTTATTCATTATACAGAGATGGGAGGTGTTCCCAGTGCTTAGAAGGTAGAAAGCAGTTGAGATGAAGTTTGGTAGTGTTCAGTACCAAGGTTCTGTATTTTTTGCTCCTAACAAAAATATATGCTGTAAAGTTGTTGGTGAGTTTTTAAATTTTTATTTTTGGGGGAAACAGAGGAGAAAAGCCAGCTCTGAATGTATTCACCAATTAAAGGATGATCATGTGAGTGTGATGCAGCCATGAGAAAAGTGTTAGGGGATGTGCAGTTAAGGCTGTTCAATGTCTATAATGCTGCATAGAAACCTGGTCACCAGCAGTCAGGGAAGATGAACTGAAGCTGGACCAAGCACAAGGAAAGGTGATTAGGCCCTGATTTCTCCCTTTAACATCATCTTCAGAGTAGAAGAGCCTGGTATAGCAGAATAGCAAAGTTAAATCTGCAAGCTTGTCACTCTATATTAATATTTCAGCTGAAGGCAAGTAGTGATCCCTAAATTTTACTAAGTCAAGGTGCAAGCAAATTACAAGTAATTTAGTAATTAGGAATTCAAAATGTTATTAATTGTCAAAGTAATATGATCCCTGTAGCAGTATAATGAAAAAAGAAAACTAATTATTTTGGGCAGAACATTGATCAGCTTTTGAAATGGGTTAGGAGTGTGTTTATTTGTGATGGCGGGAGCTGATGGACATCTCTTTCTAGTCTGTGTTTTTCTGTTGGACCAAGGGGATGTAAGCTGCTGCTGGCTGCAGGAAGGGGTGACATCTGCCAGAGAGCTGCTCTCAGCTGCAGGTTATGGAGGGGCTGACTCCATGGAAAGTTGGGGCTGTAACCTGAGTGTTGGTGTGGCAGAGCTGGGAGTGGCTGCCTGAGCATTTTTAGGTGGTCCTTCTCAAGCAGAGTTGTTCTTATGCCAAATCTCAAACTGCTTCTGTTTCTCCTAATTTTCTTGGGAATTACTGGTTATAGAAATACTGAGCTATAAAATCAAGGTTATAGACATTGTCATTTATAATACAGAAGGTAGTCCCATGAGATTTAATTTTGTGAGCTGTTTTTTAGTGTGTCACTTGTTTTGGGCATCTGTCCCACATTTGGTCCTTGGCAGGTGAAAAATGTGCAGATTAATATTTTGTATCCCTTTAATTAATTTGGTGTGACTCTCTTTTTCCAATTAATTAGGCCAGAAAAATGTTCAAGAGGACTTTGCTTTTGTGCACTGATTTAAAAGAAAAATTAAACATAATTATTTGCATGATATTGGAAAATTCATGTTCAAGAAGCACATTTGTTAAAAGTCTATCATTAAATCATGAAACTCATGCAGTTAAAATTTTTCAGCCCCTCTTGATTCATTCAGTGTTGTGAAGAGCCTTTTCCTGTTTTCTTGTAGAAAACAGTGATTTCTTGTGACTGGGACATAGTGTATTGACGTGTTTGTTTATTAGCCTGTAGAAGAGAATGACAAAGGGCATTTTTTTGTTCGTTTGTTTTAAATTACTTTTATTTTTGCTTTCTGGCCCTAACACTGCAAATATTCTTCAGTGAAACAGCTGTTAAGGGAAGTGTTCTTGTCAGCTGGTCAGAAGAAAAGGGAGAGCAATTCCCAAGATGTTGTACAGGTTATCAGTGTGCTTTCAGGGCCAGTCTTGAAGGAATTTGGAGTATGTGAATTTAACTGCATGGCTCCTGTGAAGCGTGACTGCTGTTATCTGAGAGCTCTTTGTAAATTCATGAATGCTGTGTAATCTAGAATAAAATGTAATCTAGATTAAGACCAAATCAGCATAAGTGTAGGGTATGTATGTTTTTTTCCTGGAGTTTACAGACTGGGAGGGGTGTGCATAAGCCATGAAAGGTTAGATGTACCCTCCACAGTTAAGGTTCCTGGCTTTTGGGCTATTTCAGTACAACACTTATGTTGAGGAGAAGGTCTTGGAAGTTCCTGAAGTTTGTAGGTGACAACTTCTAGTTGCAGGTATTCAGTGAGCCAACCAGGCAAGATGCCCTCCTAGACTTGTTTGTGATTAGGAAGGACTTGGGGATGTGGTAATAGGTGGGATGCCTTGGCCACAGTGATCACGAAACAAGTAATGAGTCCAGTGTTTTCTTTAGATCTCCTGTGCTGTCAACATACTTGAAAAAGCCCTTCTTGTTATCTGAAGTGATGCCTCAAGCTTGTCAGTGTTTAAGAAGCATTTGGACAATGCCCTTGACAAGATGCTTTAACTTTTGGCCAGCCCTGAATTGATCAGGAACTTGATCTAAATTATTGTTGTAGGTCCATTCCAACTGAAATGGTCTGTTCTGTTCTAACATACTGAAAATTTCTGTCATGATTTAGGAGCCTAAAAATTCTGGAGAACATTTATTGCATTAAGCATGCAAGTAACAAAGCTACACACTAAAACCCCAGAAAGCACACATCTACCCAACTCCCTCGGGATCTTGGCTGATGCCATTTCTTCAGACCACGCTTCTTGACTGATTTCTCTTTCTTTTCTCATCCTCTTTCCTGCTGTTTTCTCTTATTAATGAGCTCTCCCACCTGCCTCTCTCCCCAAAACACTTCAGCACTTGACCATCTGTCACTGCTGCTGTGCATCCATACTGTTATAAAAGAAAGCGCCGACCTTGAGCTGGTGTGTGAGATCTGTGATAAATAGCTTACAAACTGGCAAGTGAACCAGCATTGCAAATAAATTGCCTGGTATGTTGTGCGTGAAACAGCAAGAAATGTGGAGGCTGCTAAAAGTCTAAATGCTCAGTCAGTAGGTACAGTTCTGGGAAAAAGATGTGTCCAGTAAATGTGCAGAAGTTTGCAGTGTAACACGTGGTGGATCCGTGCATGTTTGCTGGGCAGTGAGGTTCAGACCCTGCCCTGAAAATGTATTTGATTTAGGCACTGACCTCAGTTATTAGCTGCACCTTAATATGCAGCTTTTGCAGATAACTTCCCCCCCCCGAATTATAAAATGGCTGTGTGAGCATACTGAGACTGAATGCATTTTCCAAGAAAGATTATTTTTGGTTTGTTTGAGACTAAGCTTAGTTGAATCAGCAGAAAGACTTTTACTTCCTTTCTTTAATTGTAATTGTAAGCTGAAATTCTAAATCAGCTGCTTAGTCATTGCTAAATTACAAAAATTATGCTGTTCTTCAGTTGTCATAACAAACTTATTTATTTCTTGGGTTTTTTCCTGAAAGAATGTTTTCCTTGAAACAAAAATCTGAAGAGTAATCAAGAATCTATGTTTTTTGAAATATCTATCATAGTGTAGGATAGGTAAACAAGACAGATGTTCAGATTGTTCTGACAAGTTGATTTTATCCAAGTCATTTGCAATGCTTTATAAAATTCAAACCCAAGCTGAATCCAGTCATTGCTTAGATTTATAATGCAAGACTGTGGTTTTCCAGGGGAAGGGGGTCCCTATGCCATCAGGTTGGGCTTCACAGTGTAGGTGATTTTCCTGTCAAAACTTGTCCTCAGAGTCCATGCCCTGTAATGGAAATGATGCATTGAACCCGTAAGTGCTGGTTTCATAAACTTAGTGGGATGAAGAGCAGCAGGAGATAAAGAAGGTCTGGCTTCTTTGTGTTTAAGGAAAATGAGAGATGGGTGGCCACTGATAAGGTCTGCTCTCTGTGGGATGAAAGAAAGTGGGTGGTCCTGCCATGGCAAATCTTTAAGACCTGGCAAAGCAAGTGATAATTCTGATTTATTAATGATACTTTCTTTTGGGGGTTTATGTTTTAACAGTTTCATTCCTTGGCTCCAATGTACTACCGAGGTTCAGCAGCAGCTGTGATAGTGTATGACATCACCAAACAGGTAAGAGCTTTGGGATGCTTTTTGCCTATGTTAACTCCTGTGTTTGGGCCCGAGTTGGAGTTAAACCCCACAACCACGGGATTTATTTTGTCTGGTGTGTATATGCTTCGGTAGTTTGTGTAGATCTGGGTAGAGGTGTCCAACTTCCTTAAAATATTAAATGAAAAGTTCTGCTTCTGTGTTGTTTCAACTTCATGCAGACAAAAGGTTGGAGACTGCATTTTGTCAATGTTCCTTTGGGCTTCTGCTGGCTAAGTAGACAGGATTAATGTCCTGCAATACCCTCTACCCACCACCACCACCTATGTTCTCTGTGTGGAGTTAAATTTTTACTACAAAAAGCAGCTGTTAGCTTTATCAGCTGAGTAGAAATTGCTTGCATATTACTGGTTTTAAAACTAATTATTTTTATCTAAGCATATAATTTCATGTTTGTATTACAGGTGTCATATCTTAATTTTGAAACTGATAATGAAACCATGGACATTTTGTCTTAATATTATTCACTTGGAATGAAAATGGTATTTTTAGATCCTTAATTCTCTGGTTCATTTCTCAGGCAGAGGAGGAAAGGAGATTGCAGCTGCATGCCTTTTTCTCTCCTTTTGGAAGGTACAGCTGAGTTTGAGGCAGTGCTAATGGCTGGCCAGGAGAGATCACTAGCATTTTATTCCTTTCTTGCCAATTGACTTATTTACTGCAAGGTTGGGAGGGCTGGTTTGGTTCCCCAGTGCATTGCTGTAATGCTCTGTCGCTGATGGTGGTGGTCACTGTTGTGCAGCAGTGCTGTTCTCCACTGCTTATTTGCCAGGTAAAGATGAGGAAGAGTGAATCATGCTGGATTGATACTTTTGATTTAAATACCTTACAGTTGGTCTTGTAATATATTGTAAGAATAAAATTTTGTTTTGCCAGCCTTTCTCCAAGCTTATGTGGAGCAGCTCTCAGGATAAAGAGGGGGAAATAGGAGAGGAAGGTCAATGTGTATTTCACTTTCTGATGCTTAATATTCAGTGTTAATCTTTAAAGCAGAATGGATTTTTTTTTCCCAAGTGACTGATGTGGCTCTACCTTTGGTGATACTGATGCAGCTATTGCTGATTTAGACATGACTCTTATGTGCATTTCTGAAGGGGAAAAAATTATTTATAATCTATTTGGAAGCTCACTTTGTCAGTAAAAATTTCAACTATGCATTATAATTAGAATGTCCAGAAAGAAGTGTGATCTTAAAGCTACTACTTCAGTTGTGTAAAGAAATATAAAAATTACTATTAAAAGGTAGGAATCATCAGATAGAACTTGATTTTGGTGCTTGGAGGGAAAAAAGCCCAGTGAATTGTCACCTCTCTTTTCAGTTTTATAATGAGTAAATTGAGGTTAACCAGATCACAGATTTGGAAATGCAGGGAGGTGGATATCACTGTGAAAGTTCTCCTGGATATTACCAAAAATATGACAGTGATTGAGATAGTAAGCTGCTGGACAGAAGTGAAATGAGACAAATTAAGCTCACATTAAGTGAAGGAAATGAGCTACTAGATGAGCTGGGGTAGTTTCTTCATCACTGGAAGTTTAATATTCTGTGCCACATTGGAGCAGGGAGGAGGGGAAGTGTAAAAGAGAGAAACATCCAAGTTCAAGAATTAATTTGAAGAAGTCTTACGGCCTGAAGCTTGAAAAGCAAATTGCATAGATAGACAAATGATCTTCCAGTCTTGTGATCTGTGTAATCATTATTGCATTAATACTGTCAAAGCTGTGCTCTTCTACTTTAAAAAACAGGCAAATACATTGGCAGAGAGCATGCTGGTAGCTTACATTGTTATTTCTCTGATGTAGGATTCATTTCATACTTTGAAAAAATGGGTGAAAGAACTAAAAGAACATGGTCCCGAAAACATTGTAATGGCCATCGCCGGAAACAAATGTGATCTTTCTGATATCAGGTAAAACTTTTTGTTGTTATTTTCATTGCAGTAACTATATTGTTTCTTCCCTTCAGATAACAATTTTGCTTCGTTGTTATGATAGTATATAATTTTGGCCTTCTGCAGTAGAATCAGTGATCCTAGTAATGCACAACCTCAACAACAGCATGACTTGAATTATGTATTTTTTTAACTTCTCTTTTACTGCCCTTCCTCTCTATTTGTACAATCTCTACATCCTTTATCTGCTGAATCATTCGGTATGGAAAAAGGTTCTCTTTTTTTGTTTCTCCCTTCCATTCTGTTAAAAGGTGCAGAATGTTGTAAGTGATGAGCGAAACCAGCAATGTAAAGCTGGGAGGGTGGGCAAAAGGTAAAATATTATCACAGAACTTTTGAGAACTTGTGTTTGCAAGAACTGAAACTGTTTCATAATACTGGATGTAGAAAGTGTATTTTTGGGGGTTTTTTGAAGCATAACTTCAAGTAAAACTTTTGATCCGTGTGTGAAGCAAAGAACCTCCTAGATGAAAGAGGGCCGGGTTGAATCCACACCCCTGCAGAAGAGATGAGATGATGCTGTTTGGAATGAGAGTGAAGCTAGAATCACTCTTCTGCTTGTTAGCTCCATTTTGGATTTGCATTTATCCTTTCAGGAAATGGAAGCACATTCCGCTGTACAGTAGTGATTCGGTTTGTCAGTCCATGACTATTACTACTTCTTGCTTTATCTATGAGTACAAACTCAATGATCATATTTGATGCTTTCCCCTTATGACCTCATAGGCTCTTGTGGTTGTTCAAATATATCCCCATGGGTTTAGTTATCGTTACTAAGGCCCAGATTCACCAGAGCTCTGGGGCATGTGTGTAACTTCAAGAAAGTGCTGCAGTGCTTTATTGAATCAAGGCCTAGGGTTTGAACTGTGTGGGTTTTGTTTTGTTCTCCCCCCTGCCAATGTCAGCCATGAACTAACACAACGCTGCAACTCACTGCTTTCTGTAAATAGTGAACAAGGCCTAATTCTGGGAAACTTCTGGTTTCTGTTGGGCTAAGAATTAGGGACACAGATGTATTGGCATCTCCTACGTGATGTTGCGATATGCTGGTCAACACGGTGAAACTGAATCCTACAAGACAAAAATTTCCAGATACGAAGGAGAAAAAAAGAGGAAAGGATGATTATAAAAATAAAACCAAAAGCCAGTTAGCAGAAATCATGGGTTTTAGTTGACCTGAGAGTCACTTTTAAATTTATTGCATGAGTGTTCCCAGCAATACAGTTGCCAGATTAACTCAAGGGTAATAAGTTTGGAGATGGTGGCAAATGGCAACAATGCAAATGAGTCCATAACTAGCCCTCTTCTTGCTTGCTGTTGCACCAATTGCAGACTTTAAAAAAATCTTGCATCCCAAAAATATTGTGAAAGTACTGGGCTTCCTCAAAGAGCAGCTGTGATCTGTAATCTTCTCACCATATTATTATCAACCACTACCTGTAGTTTACTGATTGCTGATCATCCGATTCTTGCTCCTGTTCAGCCGGTATAGCTCTTTGCACAAATTGTTTTGCTGTGTGAATGGTCCTCATTGTACTCCACGAGTTAATGTCTCTTAATCTTTTTGGTTTTTTATGGGAGAGGACATTTTTTTCTCCTCATAATTATGAAAAGTTTTGGTAGTATTTTTGGTGCAGTTGTTCTTTCTGCATCCCCCATTCTTTTTTCTTTCTGAAGTTATCCAGTGATGTCCAGCTAAAGTTATTTTGGTGGAAAAATAGAAGGTAGTCTATCTCATATGTGATATATTTTCACAGTTCTTCCAGAAATCTGATTGTTTATGCAATGCATGCAGCTGTTTGCATTCTCTGTCTGCTTTATGTCTTCAGATTTACTTCAGTAAAAATGGTTTTAGGTGAAACATGTCACCAATTTATCAGGTTGTTTCCAATGAGTAGAAAATACACATGCCTTTAGGCACAGAGAATTTACAAGTAAGATAATGTGAGCACACAGAAGCAAGCTGCTGTTTGTGTGCATTTTTGGCATCTCTGCTTGGTTTTGTAGTGCTTTTGGCAGATGTTTTGCTGGATATCAGAGAGACAGCTGCTTTTAAGACCAATGTGAATAGGTGCAAAAGAGGTCAAGCTGACCTGGTTCAAGTTGGTTTGATTCTGTCATCTCTGTGAGTGTAAGAGATAATGTAAGGAGGAATTAATGTATTTCTCATAATCACTGACCATGTTACTCTCCATGTTTAGCATCTAAAATTTGGTTTTGAGCTGCCAAGATGTATTTGGGACACTTAGGGGTCACACTGCTTTTCCTCAATGTTGTTAATAAGATATCAACGATTCTTGGTGCTCTGTTGAAGTAAATTTCTTCTCCACTTTGAAGGAATTTCTAGAGATAGGCAATTTTGTCAAGTATAAATCGTCATTCTTGTGTAGTACTGTCAACTCTTAGAACTGCTGAATGTTCAGCATACTTCTAAGTAATAGGAATAAGGCTTTCTTCTGATGTGCGCTGTTCTTCTGACAGGTCATTAAAACGTACTTTCAAAGACAGGAGCTGAAACTTCAGTGCTAAAATGTTGTAAGTGTCCATAATACTTTTTTGAGCATTATGGAATGCAATAGTTGTAACAGCAGCCAAGAAGTGTTCACTTCCCTAAAAAAGTGGTTCACCTTCTTAACAAATTGTGTTCACTGGAAATCCTTGGTTAAGAGAATTCAGCAGAATTTCATGCTCAGATCTTCATTCTACGCATCTATAATATTTCCTTATTCTGTAAATTATCTGGACTTCCTTAAATCCTTTGACATGGTCCTTTACAACATCCTTCTCTCTAAACTGGAAAGAGATGGATTCGATGGTTGGCCTGTTTGATGGATAAGGAGTTGATTATCCTGTTGCATCTGGAGGGTAGTGGTCAACAGCTCAGAGTCCTGATGGACACCAGTGGTGTACCTTAGGGATCTGTATTGGGACCAGTGTTATAATGGTCTTCTTCTAATGACACAAATTAAGGGATTGAGTGCACCCTCAGCAGTTTGCTGATGACATCAAGCTTAGTGATATGTCTGACATGCTCATACTGTGAGGAAAGTGTAAGAGGAGTCTCTGGATTGGTATACTGGAGCTGTGGGTGAAGCAGTTGGCACAGATTCTGCTGTTGCTCAAAAATCAGGAAGAGAGGTTTTTACAGACAGCAGTGCACATGGGCAGATCCAGCTCTGAAATCTGGGAGATACAAGGCCAGCATGGGGCTAGCTTGTTTAAAGCAGAGGTCTTTTTGAATGTTGTAAAGTGCATTTGCCATCTTTTGACATATGAAGTATTGGCTGCAAAAAGAGGGTGTTCTGCTGGTGATTTTAAGATGATGTCACTTTGGTGAAATGGCACAGAATGGTGTCTTTCACCAGTGAACTGGCCCTCACAGATTGCTGTTGCTGATGTTCTTGAAGTCAGTGGCTTTCATATTTACTTCAGAATCTCTTGTTTCTTGCTGCTTGCAAAGACCAAGACATACGATACTCTTATCATTTTCATCTGCAACAGTTGTACCCTATCTTGTTTGAACATTTGGCATGTGGAGAGAGCTTTCCTTATCAAAGTCTAATATAAAACACAAACAAATGTGATTTTCTTTAAATGATCTTCCTTTTCTCAAGGTGTGGATTCAACAGCAAGTCACAGAAATCTGCAGATTGATCAATTTTGTGGAAATGTTGATGTATTTGAATAACATCATCTAAATGCCATGTGAAAGAGAGTGCTGTTTTTATGGAGTTGAAGAACATATTAATGCTTTTCTAATCAGGCTGTGTTTGAGGTTGTTTGGGTTTTTTTCTTAAAAATTAACTTTTTTTTTTAATTGGCTTAATTTATTTATAAATGTTATAATTTTTTTAAGGGAGGTTCCTATGAAGGATGCCAAAGAATATGCAGAATCTATAGGTGCAATTGTCGTTGAAACCAGTGCAAAGAATGCTGTTAACATTGAAGAACTTTTTCAAGGAATAAGTAAGTAAATGTTCCCTTTAATTAATTAATTTTGATTTTTTAGAAGTTTTCTGAAAATAGCTGTCTATTTCAGGTCTATAAACTATCTCCCTAAGGACATCAATAAATCCTATGAACCCTGTGGTATGGCTGCTATTTTTTCAGATGTAAACTAAGAACAACTTTGAATACACCAGAGCAAAACATAGTAGATAGTAGATACAGGGTAAGCCTGTTCCTTCTAAATCTGGATATAAATCCTGCCCTGGGCCACATCTGCTGTTTCAGACCAAGCCTGCTGTAGAGGCAATATTGTTGATCTTATCATCATGTTGCTAAAAAACTTAAATGTTGATAAATGCTCCTGGAGTGCATTGGTAAGTACAAGATAGTCACTGCAGTGGAATACATTAAAAAAACCCAAAAAAGATACATTTCTTTCTAGGCCTTCTAAACATGATGAGACTGGCACTTACCATGAGAAGAAGAAAAACTGTCTTGTTCAGTTTGCCTTCCAGGGGTTCCATTGCTGGTCACTGTTTGCAAGTGGGAAGGACCTTGTGGGCTGGAAGGGACCTGGCAAGAACTTGAGTCCAGCTTTCTGCCCAGGCAGACTTGGTAGTGGATTCAGACCAGGTTGCTCAGGCCATTGTCTAGCTGGGTCCCAGAGCAGAGGTTCCACAACTGCCATGCTGGGCAGCTGTTGAAATAGTCCTCACAGTGAGGATCCCCACATCAAGCCAGAGCCTATCCTCATTCAATTTACTCCTTGTCCTGGGTGCATCTCATTGAAGAGCCTGGTTCACCTTCTCAGCAGCCCTTCCCATGGGTACTGACAGGCAGCTTTGTGCCCCACCAAAGCCATTGTGTCTCCAGGCTGAGCTGCCACTATTTCCTCAGCCTCTCCTCACAGGACAAGTCCTCCAGCCCTCACTGCCTTGCAGCCCTCCTCTGAGTTTGTGCCAGCTTGTTAATGTTTTTCTTGTGTTGTGGGCCCCAAAGCAAGTGTGACCCAGCTGGTGTTAGACCACATCTAAAAGCGGATAACTACTTTGCCTAATGTTCTGTCTTGGCTCCTGTGACTTGCTGCTGGCTGTCTTTGCTGCTGGCTCATGCTCAGATTGCTTCCCTCAGGTCTTTATTGGGCAGAGCTGGTCCCCAGGCAGCCAGTCCCCATCCTCTCTCATAGCCAGGGGCTCTTCCTTCCCACAAGTAGTGCTTGGCATTTGTCCTTTCTGAAGTATGGAAAGGTTCCTTTTGACCCATATCTGCCTCCAGCCTAAGGCTCTCTGAAGAGCAGCCCTGCCCTGAAGGATACTGAATGCACCTCTGAGTTGGGTGTCATCTGAGGGCTGAATTGGGTTGCCTGATTTTTCATCCTTCAGGCTCTAATAAAAGATATTAAACAAGGTAACTGGCCTGTGGGTAGACACATACTATTAGCCACTGACCTTTGAGTCTGACGTTCCAGCCAGCTACTCACACAGCTAACAGTCTGCCTATCTAGGCTGTAACATCCCAACTTGGATGTACCAGGATGCTGTAGGGAGAATTATCAAAAGTCTTGCCAAAGTCAAGGTAAACAGCATCCAGTGCTCTCCCAGTCATGCTCTCATAGAGGGCAACCAGGATGGCTGGACACAGTTAACCCTCGGTAAGTCCATGCTGACTGGTCCTGGTCAACTTCTTCACCTTCTCCACCGCAGAAGCAGCTTCTCAGAGGATTTGCTCTGTGGTTTTCCCGGGAAGCAGAGTGAGGCTAACCAGCCTGTAGACCCATGGCTTGTTATGTCCCTCTTTGAAGACACTGACCTTTCTCCACAACCTTTCAAAAACAACAGGGATGATAAAGAATGGTGTTGCTCCCTATGCATCCTCAGGCTTGTATGGATTAAGATTTCTCAAGAGCTACATGGTCTGATCATCTTCCATAACTGCTGTTTGCTCCTCTCCCTGAGTCCTCTTCTGGGGTGCAGAGACCTAGGAGACAGCATGTCCAGACACTCAACCTAGTTTCCCTGAAGTTATTTTATTTTATTTTATTTTATTTTATTTTATTTTATTTTATTTTATTTTATTTTATTTTTTATTTTATTTTTTATTTTATTTTTTATTTTTTATTTTATTTTATTTTATTTTTTTATTTTTTATTTTATTTCTTTATTTTTTAATTTTATTATTTTTTTCACATATTTTTAATCAGCTGATAATCTCTAGCACGCTTTGCCTGCGATGGGGCCTGTTCGGCCTGTTCAACTGTTTGCTGTGCTCACATGGGATGTATTTGAAATGGTTAATGAGAACCAATATTCTTAGAATACACTACCATTGTTTTGTCTCCTTTTAAAAAGGAGGTGTGTGCCACATGGCTGTCTAGAGGAACTGGTTCTTCCCTGTGATAGTTTACTTGTTTGTCTGCATCTGATGGTTGCGGGTGTTCTTGCAGAGGAACACATTCTTGCCACATAATTAAATAATTAGTTTCCATCTTTGATAGGCATTGCTGCAGCTGGCAGTGTGCACCGCCCCTAATAATGAATATAATAGATGAAGAAAATCAGCTAAATTAAGTTTAGTATGAACTAGATACCCAGGCAAGTGCACTTAATTCCACAGGCAATTACTTCTATATATAGAAATATTTGGTCTCAGTGGATCTACTTGTGACCTTATCAAGCACTCAGCAGAGAGAAAGGAGAGAATTGGTAGAGTATGTTTATAGAAATATAGTGAAAACTAAGTGAAAAATGCTTGATTAGCAGTAGAATTAATTAGTGAGATTGTGACTGGACGGAGAGTATTGATAAGTAACCTGATGTTTTACCCCACTTCAGTCTTGGCGCAATTTCCAAAAAAATCTGTCTCTGCCCAAGTTGCATAGCAACATTTCTGCCTTTTCAGAGTATGAAATCCTCCTGTGGCAATGTCTCCTACCTTGTTGGCTAATTTTGTTTGTGTGATGCCCTAAAAGTCATGCTGCAGCTTTAGTTTTGCTTTCATGCTGCCTGAGAGCTCCTGCCCTTCTCCCTGTGCTGCTCATGAAGGGCATGGTGCAGCTCCCTGACCTCTGAACAAGGAAGCAGCAATTTCTGTTTACCTTGGACTTTGCAGGTAGACTGTATGTGTTATCTATTTTATAGTCTAGCTTTGGAAGGATATTACAACATGTGTGGAGAATTAATCTATTAAATCTTCCTTGAAATTGATAGCCCAAGCAGAAGGGGTAGACTTCATTTTATTTTAGCTAAAAAAATTTACCTCCTTCTTGCCTATGCTTTTCATTTCCCAGGGGCATTTTAACATAAAAATTTTTCCTTCTTGAGATGTTTAACAACTGTCTCTTTCCAGAGACAGTGTTGTGAATGGAGTGAAATAATATGATGGAAAAAATGTACTCATAATGATATAAAGAAGGCATAAAGAAAAAAATCTTTTATTGACAGTCAGATGAATCTTGGAAAAATTACAGAGATTATAGAAAGATTGCTTCATTTCTAAGGTTATTATATTACACTGTGCTTAAAGGATTTTTAAAATAAGTTTCTCTCACAATTTGAGGATTTGGCTGCTTAGAGGGAGATCTTCATAACACAGTCTCAACATAAATCTGTCGTCCTTAATTTGTCTCAAGAAAATACAAGATGTGAAAGACTAGAATCAGTAAAAGTTTCTGATTTTCTGAAGATGGGTCAAATTTGGCAGGAGAGGTACTCTGCAGTCACTGTACTTGGGCAAATAAGGCTGAGGAGGCAGACTGAGTGTGAGAGTCAGCAAAGTCAATGTTCTCTTACTTGTTTGCATTGAGCTGAGTAATAGGCAGCAGCTCCTGGGTTCTGTTGTAGCCATGGGATTTCAAATGGTAAGCCACTACACTTAGCCTGGGTTTGCTTGGTAGTGCCTGGCTGAAGGCTTGCTGTGGTTGTGAAATATCATGTGGCTGATTTATGTCTCTGTAAACATGAAACAAGTATTTTTAATACAGTTGTATATTCCTCACTTGAGCTAAATTTTTCTCAATGTCTTTCTCTAAAGGTTTTTGACATAAAAAGTTCATTGTTTCTTTTGTTTGTTCCAGTAGTTTTCTTAATAGCTGAGCTTCTGTAGGAACAAATGTTATTAACTTTTTATTCCCAGTCTTAAAAGAATCATAGGCACAGTGGCTCCTTGTTGCTGTTTGTTTGGCAGCAGCAAAAATGCCAGGAATGTGTTATACAATAGCAGTATAATAAAGTTGTGCCTGTGCAGGGGGTCATACTGGTTCTGTATTGCCCTTTCTTGTTTGTGGAATTTTAGCCCACTGACCTTTGCTTGTGTCTGGCTAGTTTTCAAAGACTAAACAAGTTACCCCATATGTACCATCATTTAGTGGCAATCATACCCTTGCAATTCTCAGACACCTGTTCATTTACCAGCTCAAATAAGCCTTAGTTACCTTATTCAAAGCTGGTACACACCCAGCTGTTTCTCTTCAGCCTGTGTGTGTTGCCTGCTACCTCAGCATGAAGTTGCCCCAGATATGAAAGAGCAGATTACGTGAAAGCTGCCCTCGGTGCGCAGCAGAGCCGAGGCTGTGGCTCCCTGGTTAATTCCAGGCTGCAGCAGGAGATCCGGAGGGGAGCGGACAGTGGGACAAGCAAGCCACTGAAGAATACCTAGCTAAGTGAAACATAAAATAAGCTTGGGCTTAAACGAAACAGTTTTTTATGGCCATGTGCTATTTTCTTTAAGGTCTGGCAAATCATAGGACAACAGAATGGTTTGGGTTGGAAGGGACCTTAAAGATCATCTGGTTCAACTCCTCTGTAGTAGATCAGGTTGCTCAAGCCCCGCTTCAACGAAAGTTGGAGATCAGTGTGCTACCAAAGGGGGCAAGATTGAAGCATTTCAGCATCCTCTGTTGAGGGTGAGAAGGAAGTAGGAAGAACATTATCAGAACACTATAGAGACTGTGCAAAGAGTGGTTAGCATGCTCACTCTTACTGATGCTCGTACTACAAGAAGGAGAGACAGACTGATGCTTA